CGTTTACTCATGATTTGCTGGTAGGACATGTTTCTTCCTCTGTGCCTATACAATCAACTGTTAGTTTTTATTTTAAGCTATTTATTTATTCATATAAAGCAAATATAAATAGTCATTTTCTATATACTGGGATATCTCTAAAACTTTATTTAAAGTTAAATACTTTATCAGTGACTCCAGTATTCCTGTATGTGAAGTTAATAACCACACCATTTTTACCTTAATCCAAAATTGTGGTAAAATGCAGATTAGGGTAAAACAAGAGTGTTGGAGAACAAATCATCCCTGTAGGTACTTTACTATTTATCTCTATTCTAAGTGTAACTGGCCCTGTAGGTGGGAATTCATGTAACTGTACCACTTTCCAGTTCACATTTCTTCACAATTTCTCTATCTATGCTAAAATAGACTTTACCAAAGTGCTGTGATTTAATGGTGAAAGTTATTTTAAAAAGATTTCTTTGAAGTACAGAGGGCCCTGGAGACCTCTGGGGGCAGAGCTATTGGACATCATTAGGGCCCCGCTGGCCTCTTTGTGCCTTGGGTTTGCTCTCTTGTGCTTTGCTCTGACTTCCAAGCAGGTTGCCTCTGCATGGTGGTGCCTGGCAGATGTGGAGCATTTGTATAAAACTGTTTATAGTCAATGGACAACAGGGAAAAGTAACATCTTTCAGGTGCCAGCATTTGCTTTGGTTGTTTCTGTTTGGGTCTTATACTGGTTTCTGAATGAATTGATATGGCAAGAGGAATTTAATACTCTTCTTTGTGATACAGTCTAGACAAAATAATTATTTCTAACATTGAAGACCATGGAATATAGCACTTTATTTGACAAATATATGGACCTAAATATTGTGGCTTTTTTGTTTCCTTATTATACTATACTAAACAAGTTTATTTTAAAGTAATATTTGTAGAAATTTATTTTTAAATAATGATCATAAACTGTATTTTTACTATCAATTTCTCCTTTATTTCTCATCATTTTTTCAAGACATTTAATTAAGGAAAATTTCAAATATATATTAAAGTAGGTAGAATAGTATATGAATTCTATCCAATAAATCCAAATTGAACTCAAGCTGAACAATTATCAATTATACCCACTCTAGTTTCATTCTTACCAGTTACTCCCTTAATATTATTTTAAAGCTATCTCAGATGTACTATTTCTTAATTTGTGATTATACAACTGTAGGACTCTAAAATCTCTTCTAAAAAGTAATAAATTATAATAATTCCATAACATCATCAATGTTCCCTAGTATTGTATTCAAATTTTAAATTTCTGAAAAGTTATAATTCATTTTAATAATATATGGTTTTCAGAATCCAAATAAGATTAAAATTTTGTATTAGTATATATTGGCAAAACATGATTAAATTCAGCTTTTAGATGTCTAACTCTCTTGGCTTCCTCTCACTGTTACCCCACAATCTCACCTTTCTACTGCCTTCCTTTACATATGTAAAATAAATTTATCTATTTGTTTATTTTGCAATATGGTTTCCACCCCCTAGAGTTGCTGATTATTTTTTTTTTGACATTTAACATTTCTTATTTTCTGGAAGTTGGTAGTTTGATCTAGGTACTTGATAAGATTGAATATCAATGTTCTCAGCATGACTGCTTGGTAATTGATGTTGTCTTCTCCCATTAGGGGGCACAAAATGCCTGATTGTTAGCAGTCATTGATACTACTGTTCAGATCAATTATTGTTGCATTTAGATATTTTACTTCTATCATTCCTTTGTCATTTATTAGCCAGAGTATTTCTGTAAGAAGAAACCCATTTTACCTTGATTTAGTCATGTGGTGGTATAAGTGTAAGAGAAAGGTAGCATAAATGCCTGATTCTTTTATTTTATTTTTAAAACTTTTCTCCAATGCTTCCAATTCAAATAATACATACACAAAGAAATCCAGCATAAATGCCTGATTCTTTCCCTTCAGTTACCAGTTTTCAAAATGAGTTGGTTCCCGGGGCCAGGGATTTAGCTCAGTGGTTCTGCTGCCTGCTTTGAAAGCGCAGGGTCCTGAGTTCAATCCCTGGTACTAAAAAACAAAAAAAACAAAACAAAATGTGTTGGTTCCTACCATCTACTAAAGATGACCTTTTTTCACTATAAACTTGAATATTTAAAGTTATTTTTCCCATTTGCTTTTTCAGCTATATTTTCTTTTGTAATTTGAATCATTGTGACTTTATTTACAATTTTTCAGAGTATTAAATCATCAAACTTTCATCAATCTGATAAAAAAATTATATATTAAATGTCTATAATTTTTTAAAGCATTAGAAACTGACTTAGAGCAGGATCAGGAAATAACAGCCCATGGACCAAATCTGGTCTGCTGTCTTTTTTATAAGGCCCACAAGCTAAGAATGGATTTTACATTTTTAAATATTGAGGAAAAAATAATATTTTGTGATGTAAGAAATTTAAGATGTAATGTTCGTAAAACTTGCTATGGAACCCACCCATGCTGAGGACAACTTTGTGTTTGTGAATTAAACCACATTTTTGGCCTCTAAAACAAATAAACAAAATGTATGTTTTAATCTATTGTTATTATCTTTATGGATTCCAAATTGTTCTGTCTTTGGCCACTCAGAGATTATTCAAATTCTAGGTCCCTTTGACATGCAGCTAATTAATGGTCTTTGATACCTCCTTACTTTCTAGTATAATAACTTGCTCTAGGTTCATCTTATATACCTCCCACTCTGGACATTCAATCACCTATTTTTCCAAGGAAGCCTGTATTCTCTTAGGAAATAAAAGACACCACATTCTGATACCAGTAAAATCTCATATACTACTCAGAAGCTTGGTAGACCACCACATACCCAACACTTCTGTTACAAGTTTCCTGACCCTGACCTCTGCCTTCTTCCTACTTGCTATTATCAAAATGATTACTCACCCTACCAAAAGAAATATTGTTCAAAAACATCTAACATTTATCAAATGAGTAGATTTGGTTAAAGGTGAAGGATCAGAAGGAAATGTTTAGAATTGGCTTTTAACAGTCTCTTCACCTCCCCCACCTTCCAATTCTAGTATCAGAGAGTGCTTTAAGAAAAGATGAAAAATTACCCAAAAGTATGCTTGAGGCTTAACAGTGATGTCACTGGCCTTTTTTTATTTAAGGATTGCAAGTTACAAAGGGGAAAAGGATACTTTTAGAGTAGGAAAATATGACATATACCGCCTTACCCAAATGATCAAAGTTAGCATCAAGAGAAATGAAACATCACCATCATTTGCCGCCTCACATGACATTTTTGAGGACCCATCATTCCTTCCAAAATTATATTACCTGAACCTTGAAAAACCAGTGAGACAAACCCAAACTGTAGAACATTCTGTAAAACAGTAAACCTGTGCTTATCAGAAAATGTCAACGTCATGGATGACAAAGGGTGAAGACACTATTCCAAATTCAAAGAAACAAAATCAGTATTGACAGCCAGATAAATACAAAGTGTGATCCTGGAGTTGGAGAGATAAGTTACTATCAAAAACAATATTGGAACAATTGACAAATTTGAATGTGGACTGTTTATTGGTTAATAGGCTATGAGTGTTAAATTTCCCAATTTTAAAAAATAAATTGGTTTTATAAGAGTATGTCCTTGTTCTTGGGGAAAATACTCAAGTATTTATTGCTGAAAAGTCATGTTGTATGAAACTTAGTCTGAAATGATTCAGTAAAAATGAGAATGATAATTTTTTATATCGCATATATATAAAGAAAATGTTTATGTGATTAAACATTAACACAGTGAATCTTGGTAAAGAATATGGGATTTCATTGCATTATTTTTGCAACTTTTCTATCAGTAAATTTTGCTTAAGCTTTCATAATAAATCCAGTTAAATGTCAGATAGTCATTTCAATGTTTTTGACTCCTATTGTATGTGTTAGCATCTGGTATTCTGGGTGATTATTTTTTAAAAGTGTTGGAATTTGAGGTACACTGATGACATGTATGCTTTTAAAATGAAAGAGTGGGGCTATTTCCTATTCCTATAAGAGAAATTTAATTATATCAAAACTGCTTTTTGCACATTAGGTTGATGACTGGGTTTGTTTGTATTGATGTTATCAATAAGCTAGTGTTTCGTTTTTTTATAAAAAAAAAACTTTTGTGGCCAGGGATTTAGCTCAGTGGTGCCGCCGCCTGCCTCGCAAGCACAAGGACCAGAGTTTGATCCCTGGTACCAAAAAAAAAAAAAAAAACAACTTTTGTAACAGAATAAGAGAATAACAATAGTTTTTTTTTGGTTTTTTGTTTTTTGGCGGAGTGGTACCGGGGATCAAACTCGGGTCCTTGTGCTCATGAGGCAGGCGGCCAAGCCACTGAGCTAAATCCCCAGCCTGAGAATAACAATAGTTAATACATTGTGTATCATTATCTTCAAAGTAGTTACTCAGATTTTTAAAAATCTTATTAGCAGTGAGCTGGGGACCAGAATTTTTCCACTTAACTTTGTTTATAATCAAATTTAAAAATACACTGTTTGTAATATTGAAAATAATTTGTATATCCATTAATGGGAAAATAATTTCAGTCAGAATATATCCATGCACTTGTGTAGTGGTTAGTTAGATTAAGGCAGATCTACATTTTCTGATTTGGAAAGATTTCTAAGATATGATTAACTAAAAACAGCTTACTGAAAAATAATCCCAATTGAAAAGCAACTATATTTATATTGTGCCTAATTATAAATGCTTCAGAATACACTATAAAGAAGGCTACACTGTTTAATAATGCAGAGATTGAACAGGGAGAGTACAGAAAGGAAGGGACTTATACTGAACTTCTATTCTGAATTTTATACATTTGTATTTTGGCATTTTAAATATATAAAATGTTAATGTATTGCTGTGTACTTACACAAATCAATGGGGGGTGCAGTTTATGTAAACATTACAAAGAAATGGGTATAATCTAATCAGTGCAAATAATATAATTTCTTCTAATAGCTGATATGCATTCAGGATGGTTACCTTTCCCTGCTAACAGAAACTGGTGAAGTCCGTGAGGATCTTAAACTGCCAGAAGGTGAACTAGGCAAAGAAATAGAAGGAAAATACAATGCAGGTGAAGATGTACAGGTAAAGATCTATGGAAAGACTATTTTTTAAACCATTTTATAAAAACTTTGGACTAAACTAATTAGTATAAAATACTACTTATGAAATGTCTCTTAAAAGTACTGCTTAAATGTTGAAAATGATCTCCTTCAAAAACAATTACCAAAGAAGTATTGAAGTTCATTTTTTGCTGCACGGACACTGTCAACTCCGTGTTTGCTTTGAAGATCTACATATAATCTATTCTTAAGGATAAGAAAAGATGCTAAGGATCGTTAAAGAGTGAGGGAGATGTACTCTTTGTTGCAGCTTTCTGAAGTATAACATCTAGTAAGTGTTGAAATATTTATAGTTCTTCTTTTCTGTTTCTTGAAAGTTGTCTTGTAAAAGCACAATTTGAGAAATTCTGTTTCAGAAAACTGTAAAGAAAGTAGATTATTTGCTTTAGATTACTCCTTTTCAAAGTCAGTCCATATAAAATATCCACAAGTATATAATAATATATGGTGAAGTAAGTATATATTCTATATGATTGCCTTCTGAGTAGTTTTTTTGTCTGCATCTTTTCTTCTAGGTTTCTGTCATGTGTGCCATGAGCGAAGAGTATGCTGTAGCCATAAAGCCCTGCAAATAAATGAGAATGTGAGACAACCAAACTGCTTAGGTCTGGATCAACTGCAGATACAAAGTTTGGTTCTAATTGTCACCAAAGCTATCACCTCCATAAGCAACCTCATTCTTCATCTCTCTCCTCTTCTCTCTCTCTCTCTCTCTCTCTCTCTCTCTCTCTCTCTCTCTCTCTCTCTCTCCCCTTTTTAAATTGTGCTGGGTTAGTTTTGCAGGCAGTTGGTAACTTTTTTAAAAACCAATTTGTACAATTCTTTTTTTTTTCAATTTTCCTATAACATTCTTTCCTATAACATTCCTGTGGTTTTCAGTATGTACGTCCAAGAGACAGACAAGGCCGCCTCAGTAGATGTGATTTGTCTGAGCAAATCATTCCTGAATTTTAATCACATGATTAACAAACCAGTGTTTTAAATCAGACAGTGTAGCATCTAGTGGTATTGAAGTACCACATATAAGTTGAATTACTCTGCATTAATTTTAGATTTAATGTCATAAAATATGTAGATTATTGATTGGAATTGTCAGTTTCAGCCTGTGTATAGCAAACATATCTTTAAACAAAAGTCATGTTATCAGAGTGTCATTTACTTTGGTGGCTATGTGCCACCACATATACTCAGTAATACTGTTCTTTGCCAAATGTCCAGCTTAGTATAACTTTGCATGGTGGTTTTAGTAACCACTTGGGGGTTGACAGAGGGACACTGAACTGTTTGGTGAACATGAGCAAGTCAGATTGTAAAGAATACATGAAGAGGCCCGGGGATTTAGCTCAGTGGTTCTGGCACCTGCCTTGCAAGTGCAGGGTCCCAGTTTCGATCCCCAGTACCAAAAGGAAAAAAAAGAATACATGAAGAACTGTGGCAAAGAAAGTTACTGGAACTCTGTTTTTTATTTGACATCTTTATAATCAGCATAAAAAATAATGGATTTTTAGTTGTATTTTGGCTTTTAATTTTTGTTTCCCAGCCTCCATCTCCCAATACTGAAAGGATTACCTGCCTAACAAAATACTATGCAGTATTTTTTTCCAATCATGTTAATGCATGTTGGTATTTATCAGTAATAGCACCTTTCCAACCATGTTAAGTAGAATTTTTTACATTAAATATTTGTTAGACTAAAACTGGGAATTCTTAAGTTGATTTGGAATTCTTGACTTTAGTTAAATTTGTGCACATTTTTGTCTAAAGTGAAATGAATGTGAATCATGGGAGAAATACTACTTAACTTGAAAATTAAGTATATGTAATTCTTCTGATTGTCTTGTTACTTAATTCAGTTACTGATGTGAACTATAACAACAAAGGAATTCTATAAACTGAATTATTTAAAAAGTGTTTTAGGTGACACCATTGCCTTTCTATTTAGTCTTTTAGATTGTATGTATATTATTTTCAGAATTTTAGACATTGTTATAAGATTTGCAAAGACCCTTGACTCAATAGCATTCATTATTTGGAGTGAAACCTGGAACAAAATCACTATATCTTATTATGCCTTGATTCTATAAAACTGGTTATGAGATCTCTCCTACAGTGCTTTCGCCACAGAAACATCTGTTCTTATCATCTAGAGGAAATGTATCTGATACTTATCTAATCAATGACTAGAAGTAGCACTTGGGCTACAATATTCCAAGTTTTAGTTGCTTAATTTGTACACATTTTTAAGTCTTAGCCTCACCAAACACATGTAGAGAAGATGCAAGTTATTTTAAAAAAAGTTTGAGGAAGAGAATTCTAAAGCACAAGAAATACTGAGATTGTAGTTAGTTGATTTTAGTGTAACATTTTAGCTTTTGCCTATCCAAAGCACAATTAAGAATTGGGCTTAATTTTTCCAGCATTCTATTTAAGTATCTACTACACACTGTTCTAGTTTTTTAGTACTCTAATCTCTGGTGTTTATCTTACTTGCTACTGGTTGATAGTTACCCAGAGGAAGTCTATAAAGTTATTGATCTATGCTGCTTGCTAGTCATTCATCTGGCCCCAGTTATAACCATATGAGTGTTCTGATTTAGTATTAATTCTGGATTAGCATGCCCTTGTTCTTCCCAACTTGTCAAACTTTGCATAAATATATTTTCAGTTGTGATAGAAGGGTGTACAGATTATAACAATGAATCTCTTATCTCCATACCTTGAATGGAAAAAGCTATTTATGCATAAACATTTCATTTTAAATACTATATGAAGTGTAAATATTCTAACATGTATAGATTTCAAAGATAGGGGATTGTTTATTTTCATTTAAGTCAATAGATGTTTCTCTAGAACAAGATATTTCATTTAGTAAAGCTTTATAAATTGTATTACAAGGAAGCAGGGAACATGTATTTTTTAACATAGAAGTGACATTGTTCTTTTTGACATCAGAGAAATGTTAAAAGTTGATTTCTAGCACTGTTGTATTTTTTTGTAGCAAACATTAAATATCACAAATTATACATAAAATATAAATTGTCATGGTGATAGGTTATACCGTAATACACCATTCTTGTCTGTACACATTTTGCCAATTTTTAGACAGTATTAGCAGGTTGAATGTTTGTTTCTAGAATATGTTTTATTTCTACTGTGAAGACTGTTACGCTTTATCTGCTAAAAAGTTGTACTTTGACTTAGTATTTACATCATGGACCTAATTATGATGTTTCTTCCATCCTCCCCTCCAAGGGCTGTCAGTTACTTGAACAAATTATTGTTAACTGAGCTCTTGACTCTGCTTTCCTTAGTGGTACAAATTTCTGTGCCAATGCTTTATATAAATTACCAGAATTTCTGCAGCCAGACCATGATATCTTTTAACAGGAAATGCTGCAATAAAATGTTTAGGCTGTAAAGTTTGGGAACACAATTTTTCATTACAGCACAATGTGAGTGTGTGTATGTACACACATAGCTTTGTATATTTATTCTTTTTCCAAAGTCCTTCCAACTACTAAAAGTACTGTAGTCTGGTAGTGCCTCAAATGTTGGTAAATTTTTTTTTATTTACAACCTTTCCAGAATTTGGTTTTGTAGCTTAAGGTTTCTCGATTAGATTATTTCTAGTTGAGCTATAATTTGAATGCATTATTCTCAGGGCTGTTCATGCTAAGAGTTGAAGTTTCATTTTAAAGCTAACTGTCTGAAAGTATATTGCAAACTTCCCAAATGATAATACTCTAATGCATATATATAAAATTCTTAATGTCAACATATTTAAACTTCTTAGTATTTAAGAAAAAATGGAAACTTTAGTAGCAACTATACTGGAATTTTGCCATATTTTTCATTTTAGGATAGAATTAGGCAGTCTTACTGTAGAACTCAATCCTTAGGGATATATTGATAGCATTCCTTTGGCATGGACCCCAAAGATAGTTTCAGAGACAGATATTGTAGGTTCTCAACCATATTTGGGAACAAAGACTGAAAATTCATAATGGTCTTTTGGGTATCTTAAAATGTTTACATACTGAATTCTATTATATGAGCTAAGAACACATTTAGTATGAGGAAATATGGCTCTTAGTATAAAAGCAAAAATATAAGCGTATTTCCTTGAACAGTATATTACACTGATAAAGTTTTAAATTTTCCAGTACCATTTAAATACAATATTTCATAGGTTTCAAGCCTTTTTTCTGCTAGCATTCAGAAAAGTAATAGGCAACAAAGATTTAAGAAAAATTCATGGCGGAAATCTTAAAATTGAGAAAATTCAGTCTGTTAAGTTTAATATATTAAACTTTTTCTCTAAATTGGGTATATGGCATCATTATTTGATTTTGGCAGGAACATTCGGATTTAGTTTACGGAACACAGATGTTCTGTGGGAACATGGCTTGAAGTTACAATGTAACTCAGTATTTTTCCATTAAATAAATATCTGAACACCAACTTAACTACCAAGTGAGGTCAAGTGCCTGAAAAGTGCTGTATACATCTAATAAACATGTTTTCTGTATGTGAAAAATGCATCTTTTAGCAGTGCATACCAAGCTTTCATCCGCTAGAAATACCCTTGTTGCCAAACTTTGCCATTCGTTCAGCACTATTCTCCTCTCCCTATAACAAGGAGAAACCTATTTTACAATAAAAAAGATTCTTTTATTTATATGAAGTCCTTAAAACCATTTCTTGATATTAGAATTAGGTTTATCTCAGTTTAAGATTGCACTTTAAAAAACTCTGGACACATAGATATTCAGCAGTGACTGAACATAAAAGTCATAGTTGTGATCTTTCTTGAGAGACATTCTTTATTGTGGTTATATGTACTATAAATAAGCACTCTTTTGCTTATTACAAAGTGAAGTGCAAATTACTGGTTCTGTACTGGTATGATAAAAATGCCTAGTTCTATATTGTTATGTGCTTTTATCCTCCTCCCCCAAAAGGTAATTGAAACAGGATTGTCTAATCCATTGGCACTTTATTAGTAGTATATTTTATTTGTCTTAGATATAGGAGAATTCTTGCTTTTACTTATAGAGATTCAAATGTTTTAGCTAAAACTTTAAAGTTGTAAGCTGTATGGATATTATAAGTGCATTTTACATTTCAAAAGTGGGTAAAATTCAAATGTTACATCTTTGGCTATACTAAAATATCCTTTAAAATGTAGATGGTAAACTTATCAATTATAACATTTTCTTACATAAAAATATACTTGTCTGTTATCTTCATCAGTTACATTAAATAAAAATAAAATTAACAGCTTGCACTGTCCTGTTTCTGTACATTCTTAAAGATATTTTCATACTAGAAACCTTATTTCATGTGTATGTCACTTTTAAAAGGAAATCTAACTTTCATTTTTATTGTGTCTTTTTATATTCTGGGTCCTCAGGGCACTAGCTTTATGGCTAGGAATGTTAGTTTCTAAATTTTGGTTCCAGGTTTAAGAATAATTTTAAGTTTTTCATAGTTTGTAAAAATATAGAAAACAGTCACCTGATTCAGAATTCAACAGGTACGAAAGAGTGAAAATGTCTTTCCATCTTCATTTGCTGCCTGTGGACCCTTCCAGAAACATTTAGTACAAAGAAATTAAGGCCCCTCCTCTCATCTCTGATCTCTGAAGGTCTGAGGTGTTCCTTCCCTACCAGCTGTGATTGCTGATCTCTTTCCCAGGTGACATAAGTGGTGTGATGGGTCCCCAAAGCAAACCCTTCACCCTTTTCCAATCTTCATGTCTAATCCACTACCTGGACAAGTTCATCCTTAGGTGGTTTAGCAGTTTCTTCCTTTTGTACAGTATACTGTTCTGGAACACCTCTCTCCTGGCCTGTGAGATGTGCCAAGGTTACCATGGTAGTTGTCACCTCATATCTGTGATCATTTTTACTACTAATATTCTTAACCTTCCAAATAAAAAAACAGAATTGATTAGTAAAGGAAAGACTAGGTTAGTCTTCCAGCTCCCATCTCACTTTTATTTTTTGCCACTTGCAGATACCAGAAGCCTAGTTTCCCAGAAGTATACATGGTTGGTAAAAACAAGAGTGAAAAGGGCTAATTATGTGTTTTGTGTCTCTCATACCTTTTTATGGGTCTCTTCCTGCCCTCTCCCCATGATTAAAAATTCTGTCCAAATAGGTCTCCTGTGGAATCCACTACATTTAGAACTGCCACCTGTCTAAACTGTGTGTTGTATGAAAGTCTTAAAACATCTGTTTCCACAATACATTCATCAATATCAGAATGACTGAGTATGAATTGTCTCAAAAGGGCCCACCTATAAGGTCATATCAGTCCATTGTCCAATTTGAAAGTTATTTCTGAATCCATTAAATAATTTTTCAGTCACATTTGTGGATGCTTCATGACATACCAGTACTTTATTTCAGTATCCATTCTCAAATCTCTTTAAGAAACCAGATGTATGAGTACTTACTTAACATAAATATATTTATATATGTTAATGTAATATACATGTATAGTATGTATATACTATTACCCATGTGCATATATATGTATATATGTAATTTATGTGTATATATGTGTTTATGTACATGTGGGCTTGTATGTATAAAATTCAAAACACTAGCATTTTAATAGAAAAATACTAAAGGCATTCTCAGCTCAAGAACTAGACAAGAAAGTCTTGATTATTATTATGTTTTGGAAGTATTAACCAATGCAATTGGAAAATAGAAAACAATTAAACACATTAAAAGTGTAAAAGTGAAACCAAAAATTATTTTCAGTCTTCAGATGATCTGGTAGTATACCTAGAAAATCCTACATAATTATTTGCGGCTAATCCTAACAAAAGAATTTGGCAAGGCAGTATAATATAAAATTAACATACAAAAACTTATAGCTTTATAACAAAAATATTAATCAGAAGTCATAATATGAGGAAACCACTTACAATAGGAACAAAAAGATACAGTAAATAAACACAAGAAATGTTCAAAATCTAGATGAAAACTATAAAAGCCTAAAAGAACCTGAACAAATAAAAAGACATTAATTTTTCTTGGTTTATATGTCAACATTAATAAGATGATAGTTCTGCCTAATTTATAAATTTAATGGAATTGTAATAATACATGTTTTTAATGAAGTAAACAAGTTGCTAATAAAATTCAACATAAATATGCAAAAATTGAAAGAACTATGAGGGATGATTAGCACTACCAGAAATTAATACACACTACACATTCTTTATGATCCCAACCGTGAGGTACTGGCAAAGGTACGAGCAAATGGAACAGAACAGAAGGCTCCAAAGAGGACAAAGGCACACAAATTTAGTGAATGCTAAAGATGGTATTGCAAATTACTGAGGAAAGATTGACTTAAATAGATGGTGCCGGGAAATTTAAAATATTTTGAAAATCTTAAAAGATGGATTTCATGCAACATACGTAAGAATAAACTCCAGATAAAGTAGAGCTCTAAATGGAAACAGACTAAACAAGTCCTGGAACAAAATGTGGGTGTGTTCCTGGCTTCATTTCCATTATGACTGGAAACCCATTTTCAACAAAAGGTTGCGGGGGGGGGGGGGGTGAATAGGTAAAAATCTAGATAAAGGGGTGCATGTGTGGATTGAACCATTTTTACTTTGATAAGACTTAAATTATGTGTAGGGGTGGAAAAACAAGAATTGAAAGAAAAAATGGAAACAGCTTTTGCATATGGGAAGGGGACCAAGAGATGGAAGGGGCAGGGAGGGAGGGAAAGGTAGGGGACAAAAAAAGAAGAGAGAGGTGTTGTGCGCATGTACCAACTCCCCATGCTGAATGGGATCACTGTGTACTGCAAACACGGACTAATAAAAATATACAAAGAGACTTATGTCTAAATGAAAATTTCACAAAAATAGTACCATCAATTTATATTATCTAAAAGAGATATAGATGACAGATACTCTTCCCCTCCTTTCTCTTTCAGACTTGCATACCCACAAAGCATTAAGTGGCTTTTTCTGAGCAAGTGGCATTCTAGACGCGTTATGCATTATCTTTTTGCCTTTTTGTATTTCCTTTCATGAGCATTTCTTTTCACTCAAGAATATAATAATTTTACTAATGAAAAATCTGCAAAGCATTATTTAAAATAATCAAAAAATGGAAAAACGTAAATGTCGAAAAATAGATGAAGGGATAAATAAGCTGAAAATAACAATTAAAATTGAGCAATAAAAAATATGCTTATTTTAAAGGGTAATTCGGCAATGAAAAAGATACTTGTTCTCATCTTAAATGTTGATCAATACACATTCAGAATTCCTGCAGGACTTTATACAAGAAAATCTTATTTAGCTGAAATTGCAATTTGTTAGCAATAATAAAAAGTAACTTTCTAAATACTAATGGAGAGAAAAGATGCCCTGAAGGAAGTATAAACTTTTCAATCATAGATTGTAATGTTCTATCAATTCAGTAAAGGACTCTGGGGCAGTCGTCCAAGAGCATATTTCTCCTGCCTGGTCCCCTTAGCTCTCGTTACTGAGTATCTAACAAGGAACCACACATGTATAAGGTTGAGACTCCAAAATTAATGTTCTTCAGTAGTAATAATTTTGTACTCCATATCTCATTGTCATTTTCACTGAAGAGCTACAGCCCTTCCTTTTCCAACTCTCCCACAAGGTTGCTGCACTGCAATGTCATTCAAGTACAGTTCTCCAGAGATGGGTACTGGGATGCCTTATGTGGTTCAACGTGCTGCACTTTGGGGGACATGGCACAGAAAGAAATGAAACGATGCTTTTACTACATATATGCAACTTACTGTTTTTACAATGCTTAACTGGTAATAAGAACGGATGACTGGAAAAGTTCAGGAAAAGAAAAAATTACAGATTCCTTTTTTCCTTTTACTAGTCAGCTTCTAGCAAATAAGAAAAGTTTAATATTAAGTAGAATTCGGAGGTGTGGACTTTCTGTATCACAGGGCAATCTCTTCTATCACAGACCTCACAAAAGACAGCGCTACACAGTAAGGTGCACTGTCAGCTCCAACAAGAAACTGTGTGAGGCACATACCCAGGACAAACACAGTGCTGCAGGAAAACCAATGCACGAAATGCAGGTGCACCATGGCTGAGAACTCTATTCAGAGTCTTGTTTGCCCAAATGTTACATTTTTTTCATGCCTCAAAATATCTATCAATACATAGATATTTATTAGATTATTTACAAACATTTATAATCTAAGTTTACATTATAAAATACTAATGTGGATTTTAAAGTTTTATGGTGGTCACAAAGTTTATGTTTTTGTAAGTGTACATTGATTTACAATACAATGTATTTCAGTTCAAAAAATAATGAGAGTTGTAAGAATTGTCTTTTCCCCACTGTTCTGAAGTGTCATTTCACCATAAATGACAAATACACATACATATTTATATATGGTTTGGGAACCTCTAAGTCTATTCCATTTGTTTATGTCTGATCTTGAGGCAATATTCTGCTATTTTAATTACAGTATCTAAAATAAGCGTTAGATCTTACAAAGAAAGTGTTTCCACTTTATTTTTCCTTCTTCAAATATATTCTTAACTATTCTCGTAGCTTTATTTTCTATACTACTTTTATTTTGTCAAGAGATGGAGAAGGGCTGGGGAAGGGCGTGAAGGGAC